AGCTAAAACTTCTCTTTTAACATCTTGCCTTACTACCAAAGACATAAAAAGAGCCCTGAGAAGGATGTTGTTTTACCTACAACCTTATTATATATCCTCATTCTATTTAATTCCTGAAGTATACAAACTAGAACCATAGAGACAACCAAATAGAGAATGTTAATGTTCCTATTAATATTATTTACCTTTTGACTGTTGATAGCCTCATACAAAACATTTGCTGTTTGACATCTTGTTTGCCATAGATTTCTGTTGGAATCTGATTCCAACAAATCTAAGCTATACCTGACAACCTAGATAAAAGAGAATGTAGGAGGGGCCCCTGGATGGCTCAGTCAGTTGAGTGCCCAACCTCGGCTTAGGTCATCGTTTCACGGCTGGAGAGTTTGAGCCCCACGTCAGGCTCTGTGCTGACAGCTGGGAGCCTGGAGCTTGCCTCAGATTCTGTGTCTCCCTCTATCTCTGCCCTTCCCCTGCTCGTTCTCTCCATCTCTCTCTCTCTCTTTTTCTGTCTCTCTCTCAAAAATAAATAAACATTACAAAAAAATTTTAAAGAGAGTATAGGATATGAATGGATTCATTTTTCAATGATCTTTGAAAGTAATCTTCAAAAAGTTTACTTTCATTTTGAGATAATAACCATCTTTTTCCTTTTTAGTTAATTAAAAAAAATCATTCCTCTTGAAACTCATAGGTGTCAAAATTAAATATTGTATATAAAATGTTCAAAGAATTGCTATGTTAGCTAAGATCTTTTAATGAGCCCAACAAAAATCTATTAGCTAACCTTACAGTGTTCAAGGAAAAAACAGTATAATACTTAAAATTTTTCTGTTTAAAGTAATTTGTGTTTGTTTTTAATGCAAAAAAAAAATACTATGTTTCTGGGGAAAAAAAGAAAGTTTTCCTATGGATTTTAAAGTGAAGGGGAGCACCTGAGTGGCTAAGTTGGTTAAGCATCCGACTCTTGATTTTGGCTCAGGTCATTATCTCACCATTCATGAGTTCAAGCCCCACATTGGGCTCTGTGTTGACAACATGGAGCCTGCCTGGGATTCTGTCTCCCTCTCTCTCTGCCCGCCCCCTCCCCTTGCTCTCTATCTCTCTCAAAAAAGTAAATAAATAAATTAAAAAAAAAAAAAAAAACCTGAAAAAGCAATGTGCAAAAGCAATATATACATTATATAACCTACATAAGGTAGCTCCATATTTTTGCGGAATAACTTAACACAACTTAATCTTGCCTTGCTAAATTTTAAGTCCCCACATTTGCTTTGGAACTCTACTCTGTTGGTTACTTAACCACAAAATAATCAGAATTATTTTAAAGGAAACACTGGATAAACATAAAGGTAAAAACACTTAAGCTAGAAGCTGGACACTTTAGGAGGATCATTTTTTTTTTTCTTTTTAGCAGACTGTTAATAAAGTAATTCCATGTTTATAAATGTGACCGTTATTTCTTTCACCTAACAGTCATAATGCAGTTTTTTTATATTATTTTTCTCCTTATTTAGCATGAAAACTCAGTATGTGATTATGAATATTAGGTTACTTGAAATTGGTCAAACTGTGCCTCTATTTTTAAGCACTTATGTTAGGAAAATAACCAAGCTAAGTGAGTTTGTAATTTTAAATATAATAAGTTTTAGTGGATCATTCAAACACCCTTCTCTGCATAGCATGAAAAGCACTTTGTTATTTCCCTTTCCTCAAGGAAGTCTAAAACAAGAGGGTTTTCATACATGAAGATCCTGTACTTGCTTGCTTTACGTTGAGTATAAGCAGAAATGCTTTTATAAGTCACCATGACCTTCTGACTCCAATTCTATTAATTCACATCATGGCTGAATAAGACATTCCCATTGAATGCTTTACCTTGTATATCGATTCTTTGTGGAGCAAATCTCAGAATAAATAACTTCTCATTTAAAAACAAGTTATTGATAAAAGGAAATTGTCACCTTTTTTTATTCTTAGTTAATACTTGAAATTAAGAAATTATAAACACTTGAAAACCATGTGGACATCCCAATAAATTAACTTTTGGTAGACAGCCCCCTGCTTAGTTTCATGGTGATTAATCTGTTCCTAGTGCCTGTGGAGCACATGCTGTGTAGTAACTACAGAAGTAAAACAATCACCCCGTTCATGGATGTGCTGGCTCCCCAGCCTGGGTGCTGATGGGCAGGTCCCATCTGGTCACTGTAATGAACTGTCAGGATGTTGTCAGACTGCTCAGACTCCTGCCAGAACTCTGACAGGAACTCTTTCTCTGTCTGTAATTTTAAGGCAAACTCTGCAGATCAGTTTTCAATAAGTATCAAGCTTACTACGTATGTGATACGGTGCCGGGTACTAAAAAGTGTACAAAGTAGAAGAGTGTTTCTTGTCACTCAAGATCAGTAGTCCCTAAACTTCATTGAGTCATATATTACTTAAGAAGATAATGAAGGCTGCGATCCGTTTTCCTCACAGAATTATAAAATCTATCCACAAGCATAACTGCGCTTGAATTCACATGTAGCTGCACCACGAATTCAAAATTACCAATCCATTTGTGGATTTCTTAAAATTTCTTTTAGGTAGTATGATACGATAGCACCCCTCTCTCTTTCCTAATGCATGATTATTGAGCTCCTACTATGTTGCTAGCACTTTTCTAGACGCTGGGAATCTAGTAGAGAATAAAACTGGTGAGGTCTCTGTTCTCATGGTGCCTCTGGTTTCTAAAGGGAGGGTTTGATGGAGAAGAAAAAAAAGGAAGCAAATAAAATTAGTATTAAGTGTTGTTTAAATACTGTGGTGAGAATCCTGGAAAAAAAAAAACCTGATGAACTTTCTTCCTCTCTCCCTCCCTCCCTCCTTCCCTCCCTTGCTCCCTTGCTTCCTTCCTTCCTTCCTTCCTCCCTTCCTCTCTTTCTCTCTTTCAAGTTTTTGTTTAAATTCCAGTTACTTAACACACAGTGTAATATTAGTTTCAGGTGAACAATATGCCGATTCCACAATTCCATACATCTCCCGGTGCTCATCATGACAAATGCACTCCTTAATCCCCATCACCTATGTAAATCAACCCCCATCCACCTCCCCTTCTGGTAACCATCAATTTGTTCTCTATAGTTAAGAGTCTATTTCTTGGTTTGCTTCTCTGTCTCTGTCTCTCTGTCTCTCTGTCTCCTTTTCCCTATGCTTGTTTGTATTGTTTCGTAAATTCCACATATGAGTGAATCATATGTTATTCGTCTTTCTCTGACTGACTTAATGTGCTTGGCTTAATGCTCTGTAGCTCCATCCGTGTTGCTGCAAATGGCAAGATGGAGAAAACTACTTTAGTTGGTCTTCAGAGAAGGTGAAATGGGGAGGTGATAGTAAAGCTGACATTATAAGAAAGAACCATCCACAGGAAGTCAGATGTATTCCAAGTACAGCAAATTCATTCTGCGGTTAGTATTGAGATAATATTTGAAAGCACAACATTAGCTGCTCATGGGCATGAAGTGGGGACTCAAATTTACATTTTCAATTCCATTGCATTTCATCAATCTTTATGCCCAGGAAAGGGTCCCAAACTAAATTTACTTGTGAAAAGAAAGTGGCAGATGGATATGATAAACGCAAGTGTATTAAAATTCAGAGACGTCGGGTGGAAGAAGGCTAAATGTGAAAGAGGCTTTACGCTGAGTCCTGAAAATGCAGAGAGGCAAGTCTTGCCCAACTCTTCATGGAGGAAGCTCCATGGGCAGATCGTGCCCAAACTTGAGAGTTAAAACTCCCCATCCATAACAGTTTCTACCCCAGTCAGTTTCAATAATGGAAGCTCTACTTTTGGTGCTGTTGTCCTTATTTTTCAGTACTTCACTCTATGAGCCAGATCTCTTACCTCTTTCTGTTCCTGGAACCCAGAGCTGTCTTTGCTCCCTTGGTTGATCAAATCCTTTACCAGACGGCATTTAGAGCAACATATTTCCAACTTTTTTACAACCATTCAAAAACTTGAATCCTGTTCTTTGATAGAGATGCCTGTCTGCATTTTTACGGCTCTGAATTGTTGTCCTTAATTAGGTTTTTTGAACAAGTTGTAACTTCCCCTTCTGTGTATTCCTTTCAGTTTGGGCATCTCTGAATTAGGCCAACGGCCACTTGACTGACCTTGCACTTGCTGACTTGAGTCAATTAAATTGCTTCTCCAAAGATGTAACAAAGAGCAGATATAATTAGAATTTCCTTAGGATGTTCTAGGCCTTATCATTATTTGAATGTTTTTGTAACTTGCCTAAGATTAAATAATTAAAAATAAATTGCCTGACATTTTCACCTTACTAAGTGATAAGTGTTAATGAATGATATGAATTATGAATGAAACCATTATGGTTAGAGACATTGCAGTATTTACTTGTGAGTTTCTCCAACCTGTTTGTATCCAAAGTGAAGTAAAACTCCTTCAAAAAATGAACAAACAAAAAACATTTTGGATTTTGGGTAGAGATAAGCAAATAAAATCAATATAGGATAATTAGATCATAGGTGTATTTTTTTTTTCAACGTTTATTTATTTTTGGGACAGAGAGAGACAGAGCATGAACGGGAGAGGGGCAGAGAGAGAGGGAGACTCAGAATCGGAAACAGCCTCCAGGCTCTGAGCCATCAGCCCAGAGCCTGACGCGGGGCTCGAACTCACGGACCGTGAGATCGTGACCTGGCTGAAGTCGGACGCTCAACCGACTGCGCCACCCAGGCGCCCCATAGGTGTATTTTTAAATGCATGCAGCTCCCATTATATTTTCATAAGAAAATTAAAATTGAATCTCTTTTAAAAATATGTTTAAAATGTAACTTTGTAGCAGATGAGCATATGCAAAGTGACACTGAGGAGAATTTTTATTTCATTAGAATGGTCCCTTAGTATACTGGTAATCTACATTCTCTAACTCTCAAAGAAAAAAAAAATATATATATATATACATTTATATATTCTTACTCTTACTCTTTTTTAAAAAAACAACATGGAATACTTCATGAATTTGTGTGTCCTCTTTGCAAAGGTACCATGCTAATCTTCTCTGTATCATTCCATTTATTTTTTTACATTATTTTAATGTTTATTTTTGAGATAGAGAGAGACAGACAGAGCATGAGTGGGGGAGGGGCAAAGAGAGAGAGACACACACACACACAGAATCCGAAGCAGGCTCCAGACAGCTGTGCTGACAGCTCAGAGCCCAATGCAGGGCTCAAACTCACAAACCGCGAGATCCTGACCTGAGCCGAAGTCGAACACTTAACCAACTAAACCACCCAGGCGCCCATCTGTATCATTCAATTTAGTAAGTGTGTTGCCAAAGTGAGTCCTATATATATATTAATATATATACTAATATATATTAAACACTAATATATAATTAGACATTAATATTTGATCTTTCCAAGTGTAACCTACAAAAGTGAATCCTTCGGAAATGGTTGATTTCAATTGTGAAATGTTATGAAAACAACGTAAATATACTAGCATGGTTAAATCAGTAGATTATAGAACATGGAGATTGATTTACCAGACATACTTGTTTTGAAATGTTAACCAAGAAATTGTGGAGAGATTTTATAAATTTTATAAATTTATTTACTTCCATATCCCAGAGTGGTTTTCTGTTATTAAGTTGATCTATAAGATTAGCACTCAAAATAAAGTTAATTTGCAACCCTCAATTATTTAGTAGTTCAGTTAGTAGTTATACCGTCAATAATTATGTTGAGAGAAATTCTTGGGCTTATCAGATCCGCAGAAAAGATGTTTGCTTTCTGATGTCTGTCCTCCATGTGGGTAGAGAGACCAGTAGTAAGCTTTCTACATATTTGAAATCCTTGACATCTAAGCACCAAGCTTCTGAAGACTACTCGCACCAAAGTGATAGCCTTACAACCTGACTGTGGTACATCATACCCCATTAGTTGTGAATGAGTGCTCTGTGGGAATATTTCAGAACAATTAATATGGCAGTTACGCAAGTATCATCTCTGCTTTGGTACATCTCTGTCTGATAAATGAAAGAAAAATATCCTTGGGTAACTTTCTGAGGGAGTAGTACAGTTGCATCAGCTTTAAGGGATAGGGGTACGTGTTTTGTTTGTCCTGCTTGTGCCACTTTTAGTATGGCATGACACCGCATGGACCATGTTCTCAAGTTCAAGGAGATGTATGTGTCATTTTATTGCTGATAAATTCAGAAGTCATGAAATTGTTAATAACCACTGCTTCAAAGCTGTTCACATTACCTACTTAATGATCAAGAGGGCTTTTATAGATTTTGTGGACATTGTTTTTTAAGGGTACTGACTGGGCTGCTGAAATAATTTCAGGATCTCAGTATTTCTTGGGCTTTTGTGTAAACCGTGCTTAAACTTAGGGGCATCTGGAGGGCTCAGTTGGTTAAGTTTCTGACTTCAGCTCAGGTCATGATCTCGCGGTCCATGAGTTTGAGCCTTGTGTTGGGCTCTGTGCTGACAGCTCGGATTCTGTGTCTCCCTCTCTCTCTGCCCACCTCCACTCATGCTCTTTCTCTTTCCATGTCTCTCTCTCTCTCTCTCTCTCTCTCTCTCTCTCTCTCTGTCTCAAAAATGAATAAATGTTAATTTTTTTTTTAAACCATGCTGAAACTTGGAAATATTTATGAAATATGTTGTTCTATAGTCAGAGTTAATATCTCTCGCTAGATGTATCTGTGTGAATCTCTCTCTTCTCTCTGTTACCCCTCTCTGTCCACCTACAAACATATGCACAATATACCATATGCACATGTATGCACATAGACATGCACACCACACACACACCCAGATACGCACATGTGCATACACAGTTTGTCCCTAAAAATACAGAATTGGCGGAAGGTTTTTCTATAAATAGACACAGATAGAGATGGATATGTCACAGTATTATGCCACTTCAAAAGATTTTGAGAAACAAAAATGTTACTTGAACATATAACTATGTGGCTTGTTGGTAGGTTTTTTGTTTTGCTTTATTATATTTTTAGATTGCATTAAGTGAAATTTTGCTACTTTAAATTCTTTACAAACAAGGAATTAAAAGGAATTTTAAAAAATGCTTTATTCTAATGACTAGGTGGCAAGTAAAAGAAAATCCCACCATAAATCATAATTAAAATGATAGCTTTTAAATATTGGCACGACTACAATGATTCTTTTTTTCCCCCCTTTTAAGTAAATGTTTCCAGTCTGGAAGACAATCAGATATCTCCTAGGTTGTTGATATTAAGACAACTCTTTTTGTGACTTCTGAATTCTTGAGAGCATTGTATCAAAATAAGGCAGTATATAATCTTAATGAATCTTTATTTTAAAGGCTTATGTTATCTTAAAAAGTAAAATTATCTTTGTGATACTATCTTAGAGTTACTCTTCAATAATAATGATTAAAGGATAATTTCTATTTTTAACAGGGTCTAGACTTTATGGGATTGAAGGCGAATGATGAAAAGTGAGATAACACTCGGGGAAAAATATCCTCTATAAACAAAGATTAAAAGATTTTTTAAAATTGGTTTCTGGACCCCAACGAATTCTCAGTGCTTGAGTATCTTTGTGTAACATTTACCCACTAATCAAACACTTGCTTCTCTGCTGCTTGAAATTTCAGTTTTATTGCTTCATTAGCTAGGATGACACATTTCAATTTACAATTACATGACTTACAATCAATTCAATTTACAATTATATGACTTACAGTTAATAACTGAAAATGTACAAAAACCATGAAAACATCTTTTAGAGATTTGTATTCCTTTGCAAAGAAGGAAAAGAAATCTGCAGTTACTAGTGTCAAATCCTTAAGAAAAAAATCAGAGTCAAAACTATTAAACCACACTAAGCTATTAAGCGCAAGTAATTGAAAACAGTGGTTCAAAAATAGAGACCTGTATCTTGGTCTGCCCTTGGGGCCCCTTGGATGCTCCCTGAGCACAGTTTCCATCTTCCGAGCTCTCTGCTCACTTTGTATCTCCCAAGAAAATGCGGTTAACTTATCTGTTTACAGAACTATCTTCCTGACTCAATGCCACACCTTGCCCAGCATACAGAGGGCCTTTGTAATTATATGTGTAATGAACAAATAATTTATGAATAGTACTTACTCTGTGCTGACTTTGGAGCTTTCATGTAGATTGCAAAGAAGTTATAAAGATTGTTTCCACATTTTGTCACTCTTTAAATAACTCACTTTTGAAGCCCCTACAAATATATGCAAAATCAATTTTAGAAACATTTATGTCATGACCTACTTTTTAACTCAGTCACTCACTCTACTGGTTCAAGGTAAAAAACAAAACAAACCAAAACAAACAAACAAACAAACAAACAAAAACCCTGTGATAATCTTTTTCTTCTTTACATCTTATTTACTTAATATAGAAGAATTTTATATTTTCCCTTTTTTAATAGACTTTATAACAATAAGATATTTAAAGTTTATTTGTTTGTTTTGAGAGAGAGGGAGGGGCAGAGAGAGAGGGAGAGAGAGTCCCAAGTAGGCTCTACAACTGTCAGTGCAGAGCCCAATGCAGGGGTTGATCTCACAAACATCCATGAAAGAAATCATGACCTGAGCTGAAATCAAGAATCAGACACTTAACCGACTGAGCCACCCAGGTGCCCCCTCAATAAGATATTTAGATTAGAACAAATATCCATAACTATCTGTTCTAAGTTTATTTCTGAAATGTGAGTGAATTTTACCGTCATAAAAAAAAAAAACAGAAAAGAATAGGATTTGACATTTTGAAAGGACTCAAAGAAATATTCTCTAGTCTCTAGACTAGAGACCAAATAAAATGAGCTAAAGATTAAACCAATTGACAGATGGTGGATATGCATTCTGTGTACCTTCTATTTTCAGTCCAATGATACACAGTGATACTCTGTAAAATCACTATAATATTCTAGATCAGCATGTTTAGAGTTGCAGTTTTGTGAGAGATTGTTTGCAGAAAGTGAATATACCTGACAATACTGAATGAACTGTAAAAATAGCTCTGATGGTAAATTTTTTTAAAATGTTTATTTATTTATTTTGAGAGAAGGACAGAGAGCAAGGGAGAGGCAGAGAGAGAGGGAGATAGAATCCCAAGCAGGCTCCACACTGTCAGCACAGAACCTGACGTGGGGCTCAAACCCACAAACCATGAGATCATGACCTGAGCTGAAATCAAGAGTCAGATGCTCAACTGACTGAGCCACCCAGATACCTCTAAGATGGTAAATTTTATGTTACGGATATTTTATCACAATTAAAGATAATAATAAAAATGAATCATCGAAGAAAAAAATACCTTGAGAGAGGATACATTGAGCTCATAGGTCCAAATACAAAGCAAAGTTACTATAAATTCAAGATGACACCTTTACAGGAGAGGAGAAGAACAGTGGCTTCAGTGTTTCTGCTACTAATGATTACAAATAAACAAACAATTAAAAAACAACTGGAAGAAGGGAGACTGGGTGGCTCAGTCGGCTGAGTTTTCGGCTCAGGTCATAATCTCATTGTTCCTGGGTTCAAGCCCAGCGTGGAGACCCATAGAGGGCTCGTAGGGTCTCCATGCTGACAGTGTGGAGCCTGCTTGGGATTCTCTCTCTCCCTCTCACAGCCCCTCCCCCATTCTCTCTCCCTCTCTGTCACTCTCTCTTTCTCCCTCTGTCTCTCTACCTCCCTCCCTCTCAACATAAATAAATAAACTTAAAACACACAAGCAAACAAAACTGGAAGAAACTTTCAACTTTTCCTGCCAGCTGTGGTGTTCTACTTTTACTCCTCTTTCATTTATTTATTTAAGACCTCATGATTCTGGGTTGATGATTGACTGTTGTCTTTTGGCCTATGCATGGCCCGTTTTGATTCATTTATTTACTAGCTTGAATTGCTTAGTTATTTTAAACTATGCATTAAATACCCAAAAAGGCACCATCCAGAACAAAAGCTAAGATCTCATAAATAATCTGTTTCTTACCACCAGTTTGTCTTTTTCCTTCCAGTCGGGACAACCATTTTTTTTTTCTGAATCCTGTATTCATCACCCCCTAGTTTTCATTTTTA